CTGGCACGCTAGCATACCCGAAGGCGAGTTTTGGACCTGCACTGGAGTTAAGCAGATCTCCCAGGCCTCGTGTTTTTCATCAACAACTTCTTTATGGCTCGCATTCTACATCCCTTATTATGTCATTGAGATTTTAAAATCGAACATAATTATCATTGGGTTTTTTTTTTTACTTTTAGAAGTTCTAAACCTTTAAAAATTAGGCCTTGCAGTTTTTAGAGTTTATTTTCTTGTTGGGTTTCTTTTTTTATAATTTTTAGAAGTCCCATAAAACGATGCCACTATACTCTTGTACGGCCCATCCGCCGCCTACTCTTTATTGTCATTGGGTTCTAAAAATTGAATATAACTATCGTTGGAATTCATTTTTTATTTTCCAGAAGTCCCGCCAACGTCGGCAGCTCTTCAACTATAATCCTATACACCCCGCCCGCTCCTTCTCCTTTTTATTGTCATTGAGATTTTAAAAATCGAATATGATTATCAATGGGGTTTATTTTTTTTACTTTCTAGAAGTCCCAGCAATCGCCTTGCACGTTTGCTTCACGGCCTGCCTGTCGTCCTTCCTTTTAATCGTTATTAGGATTCTATTTGGTGTTTATTAACAAATTTTATATGTCATATCAACCACCACCACTCTACCCCTTTATACACATGTTACTCAATTTATCTCGTCATGTGTTTTAGATGGTCTTTTCTTTCAATAGTCTTTATTTTTATCACCAATTTTAGTTATTTACAAATTGTATTCCTAATTGAAATCTTTTTTTTCTTTTTCTAATTTCAGAAATTTTTTTTCAAATTTTAATTAATACCGTACAGTGTTCTTTCAATATTTTTATTTTTTATTTTTGAATTTCAGTTGTTTCAAAATTGTATTCCTACTTGAACTCTCTTTTATTTTTTCAAATTTTGGATATTGTTTTATTTTTTTATTCTGAATTTTAATTAATCTCGTATTGGGTTCTTATATGGACTCTTGTCTCATTCCTTAGTTTTAATTCGAATTTCAGTTATTTTTAAATTGTATTCCTACTTGGACTCTTCTTTTCCTTTTCTAATTTCAGATTTTATTTTTTTTATTCCGAATTTTGATTAATCTCGTATTGTGTTCTTATATGGACTCTTCATTCAACAATGCTTATATTTAATTCCAAAATTTAGTTATTTTTAAATTGTATTTCTACTTGGACTCTCCTTTTCTTTTTCTCCGATTAATGTGGGAATTTCTAGCCCCCTAGTAAACGTGGTGCCTCCTTTCAAAGCCGCGCAATTGCGCGGCTAGCACCCATATAAAATTATATATTTATTTAATATGATTTTACTTAAAACTTATTAAATAGTTATCTCATTGTCTTAGGATTTTAAAAGACCAAACATAATCATCCTCATGTTTCTAATTTTATAGTTTTTAATTGTCACATAGTTGCTACCCCTTACTTCTGTCATATTATTATTTATTAGCTTGCTCGATATACTACTATTTCTATTCATTCTCCTTGGAACCTTTAAAAAATGGATATAAAAACTTATAGTTTGAGTTTATTGTCCAGTTGGGCTTCTTTTTTATAATTTCCATAAGTCCCGTCAGACGCTGCCATTATACTTCTCTACGACCATCCAATGCATCTTCTCATTATTGTCATTGCTATTTTAAAAATCGAACATAATTACCGTTTTGGTTCATTTTATTTTATTTTATTTTTATTCTGAATTTTGATTAATCTCGTATTGGGTTCTTATATGGACTCTTCTTTGAATAGTGCTTATATTTCATTCTGAATTTCAGTTATTTTTAAATTGTATTTTTACTTGGACTCTCCTTTTCTTTTTTTCCGATTAATGTGGGAATTTCTAGCCCCCACAGTAAACGTGGTGCCTCCATTCAAAGCCGCGTAATTACGCGGCTAGCACCCATATAAAATTATATACTTTTTAATATGATTTTACTTAAAATTTATTAACTAGTTATCTTGTTGTCTTAAGATTTTGAAAGACCAAACCTAATCATCCTCGTGTTTCTAATTTTATAGTTTTTAAATGTCACATAGTTGCTACCCCTTACTTCTGTCATATTATTCTTTATTAGCTTGCTCGATCTACCACTATTTCTATTCATTCTCCTTGGAACCTTTAAAAAATGGATCTAAAACTTATAGTTTGAGTTTATTGTCCAGTTGGGCTTCTATTTTATAATTTCCATAAGTCCCGTCAAATGCTGATCTACCACTATTTCTATTCATTCTCCTTGGAACCTTTAAAAAATGGATCCAAAAACTTATAGTTTGAGTTTATTGTCCAGTTGAGCTTCTTTTTTATAATTTCCATAAGTCCCGTCAAATGCTGCCATTATACTCCTCTACAACCGTCCAATGCATCTTCTCTTTATTGTCATTGCTATTTTAAAAATCGAACATAATTATCATTTTGGTTCATTTTTTTTACTTTCTAGAAGTTCCGCCAAAACGTTAGCGACTTTGTCACTGTACTTCTCTATGGCCTGCCCGCTGCCGCCCTTCTTTATTGTCATCGAAATTTTAAAATCAAACATGATTATTATTGGGGTTTATTTTTTTATTTTTTGGAAGCCTGAACCTTTAAAAATTGAACCTTATAGTTTTTAGAGTTTATTGTCTTGTTGGGTTTCATGTTTTTTATAATTTTTAGAAATCCCGTCAAACGCTGCCACTATACTTTTCTATGACTCGTCCGCCGCATACTATATATTATCATTGGGATTGTAAAAATCAAACATAACTATCGTTAGAATTCATTTTTTACTTTCTAGAAGACCCACCAATCATTGGCTGCTCTGCAATTATACTCCTATACGATCTGCCCCCTGTCTCTCATTTTTATTGTAATTGAGATTTTAAAAATCAAATATGATTATCATTGGGATTTATTTTTTTACTTTCTAAAAGTCCCCGCCAACCGCCTTGACCGATTGCTTCACGACCTACCCATCGTCCTTCCTTTTAATTGTCATTAGGATTCTATTTGATTATCAACCGCCACAACTCTGCTCCTCTCTAGGCTTATTACTTAATTAATCTCGTCATGTGTTTTAGATGGTGTTTTCTATCAATAGTCTTAATTTTTTATCAACAATTTTAGTTATTTATAAATTGTATTCCTAGTTGATATATTATTTTTCTTTTTCTAATTTCAGAATTTATTTTATTTTTTGTAATGTGTTCTTTTGATATTTTGATATTTTATTTTTAATTTCAGTTGTTTTAAAATTGTATTCCTACTTTAACTCTCTTTTTAATTTTCCTAATTTCGGATTTTATTTTATTTTTTATTCTGAATTTTAATTAATCTACTATTGGATTCTTATATGTGCTCTTATTTCAATTTTGCTTATATTTAATTTCGAATTTAAATTAATTTTAAATTGTATTCTTACTTGAACTCTTATTTTCTTTTCTTTTATTTAATTTCAATTTTTTTTATATTTTTATTCCAAACTTTAACTAATGTCGTATTGGATTGTTGTATGGACTCTTATTTCAATATTCCTTATTTTTCAATTCCAAATTTCAGTTATTTTAAAATTATATTCCTACTCGAACTCTTCCTTTTCTTTTTCTAATTTCAAAATTTATTTAATTTTTATTCTGAATTTTAATTAATCACGTATTGGGTTCCTATATGGACTCCTATTTTAATGTTGCATATTTTTAATTCTGAATTTTAGCTATTTTTAGATTGTATTCCTACTTGAACTCTTCTTTTCTTTTTCTCCGATTAATGTGGGAATTTCTAACCTCCACAGCGAACGTGGTGCCTCGTTTCAAGGCTGTTTTAATAATATAATAGATAGATAGATTAGTATAGGGCCCCGTAAATTACGCGGCTAGTATTCTTATCCTTTCTCTCATATAATAACATATATATTTTCTTATTTTATTATTAGAATTTCTTAAAATAACAACATATTTAAATTTTGTACTAACTTGACCAAACTATCCATGTGTAATATTCATATTGTGTTGTATATACGTGATACTACCTCCGTTCCAAAATATATCAATTTTTAGCTATTCATAGCTAAAAATGCTTACATTTTGGGACCGAGGGAGTAGTTCTTAATTATTTTCTAATACTAAACTTTTGTTATTTTAAAATTATGTTTGTATATGGACTTTAGACTCCTTTTTCCAACATTCTTTGTTTTTTTAATTATGAATTTCTATTATTTCTAAATTTTACTCCTATATTTCCTATTTTAGATTTAAAATTTTTAGCGACACCGCCAGTGACGCCACTCCCCTCTGCCAGATCTGGGCGGAGAGGGAAGGAAGGGGAGGGGAGGGGAGCCAGAATCCATACAGGGGTTGACCGCCGCCTGCCAGATCCAGCGTCTCCACCGCTAGAGGGGCCCGCTGTGCACGGTAGAGCGTGGAGGAGGCCGCCGCGCGCCGTCGTCATCGCCTACGCCCACCGCCGCTGTCGCCGTCGAGAGGGAGGAGAGGAGAGGAGAGAAGAGAAAGAGATAGAGAGGAGAGGAGAGAAATAGGGGAAAATTTGAAATGGGTAAGAGGGAAAAGAGGGAGGGGCATTTTTACGTGCGGACTTCTTAATAGGTCCGCCTGTGAAAAATATGCTCATTTTCACGTGCGGTCCATTTAATAGATCTGCATGCAAAAATCGATTTTTCCGTGTGATCCTCTTAAGGAGTCGCACACAAAAATGGAGGACGATTTTACAGACGCGACCAATTATGATCCGTCTGCAATCTAAATGAGTCCCTGTACAGGAAAATCATTTTTTAGTGGGACTACCTAGAGAATCAAAATAGATCCTACTCTTAAACTTACTAGAGGATGCCCCCGCGCGTTGCTGCGGGACTTGGTTAATATCAATTTGTTAGATAAGAGATATAATCTCAAGAAGAAATAGAAGAAACAAATAGATTTCTTGGAGAATTTTTTTTAGCAGCCCTATCAAAAATTTATAGATAATTTAGGTAGCACATATCAACTGAAGGAGCGTTCAGCCATAAAACTCTTTTATACGGATTGACGGACTGGATACATGTAGATGTGTGTGGAGATAGGCCGATGTGTTCATGTGGGCTATATTTGACATTGAGGAGGCGAAGAGACTCACTCGGTGACTGATGGGTTGGGCTCTATACTGCATTCCATCCAACGTCTGAGAAGCAATCTAATACATTCATCCAACGGTTCACAATTTGATGATGACGTGAAAGCACAAGGTTTGAGCTTTTGGCCTTAACTTTATAGAAAGAAGGGATAACTTGAAGAGCCTAAAAAAATTTTAAAAAAAAGAGAAAAAAAAGGGTACGGTTTTGGTTGTTATCAGCTGATGGTAAGCCATTGATTGATGTGTTGAATTGTACTACATGTATGTGCTTCTGAATTGGTATATTACAAAATAGAACCTGATGAGGAAATACAAAACATCAAAACAATTGAATTTGATCAATGCGGTTACGAAGAGAACAACGACGACATGGTAATGATCAGCATTTGCATGGGCAGCATGGACATGCGTTGCATATCGGACTTGACCCTGCAAGAATCGTTTACATGTCGGTGAAAATGACTAGCGATAAATAGAAGCAGAAGTTATGAATTCCGTATAAAAAATGAATCGAGAATTGGCTGTAAGCATGATTAAAAATATAATAACTATTCAATTTTTAGAATATTTTTTGATGAAAAACATTAGGAGAGGCTACTAGTAGTACTGGACTATATATATTAATTAAATTGGGAAAGTAATTTACACATCTACCTAAGTGAAAATTGAAACTCAATAAGCAACCAAAATGAGTCATGTCATCTATCAAATAATGGCAGTTGGATTCACAAAATGACAAAATACCAAACAAGAATTCTAGCCATCAAAATGAGGAGTACGTCTTCTAAAAGGGGTAAAATATACAATGAGTACCGTAATTTTGACAATTTGACCCTTTTAAAAAACTTATTTCAAAATTGAATCATGCCAAAAACGAATTACAAAAATAGGCTGTTTTCTCAGCGCCATAGAGATTGGCGCTGAGATATAACATTTCGGCGCCACTATCATTGGCGCTGAGATGTCATCACAGGTGTCGCGGATTTTACACGTCATCCGAGGGCAGCGCCAAAGTATTTTGCGCTGATCTCTGTTCAATTTACAAATATTAGCTATCTACAAGCTTCCTTTGCACTTAAAGAGAAGATAGCTTGGTGGAGAACTCTGGGTGCTAAATACTGTGAGGTAATGGGTTCGATTCTCAGTCACTAAAGTTTTCCCATATAAGTACAAGCATCTTTTGCTGTTCTATTTAAAAATCTCACATGTTTTTCAAATTCATTTTATTTTTAAATATGGATGTTTTTTAAATTTATTTTATTTTTAAATATGGAAGGAACAAAATTATGTATGCAGTATTTATAGCTTAGTTTTTTAAATTTATTTTATTTTTAAATATGGAAGGAACAAAATTATGTATGTGGTATTTATAGCTTAATAGTTGGTATAAATTTACATCTTTCAGTTTTTTTTCACCCTCTATTTTGCTACATAATTATGTAGATCCTAAAAGGAAAAAAAAAGAAAAATAAGAAGCTACAGGGTTCGATTCCTTGACCTGTAGTTTTGAGAGGCAGCCCTTCACCACCAGGATAGACATACCGTACGGTAAGAACGTACATGCATACTATTTATACAAACTAGACCATGGAGGTTCTTTGGCTCTGACATCGCATGACGTGTGATTTACGTGACACGTCGGACCGCATCTCAGCACCAAAGAAAGTGGCGCTAATACGTTGTAGCTCAGCGCCAAGTACGATGGCGCGAGAAAACAGCCTATTTTTAAAATTAGTTTTTGACACGGCTCAATATCAAAATAAGCTTTTTCAAAGGGTCAATTTATCAAAATTACGGGAGTAGGAAAAGGCTGAGAACACTCTTTGATGAAGTGGTTGCCTCACATTAGTCTCTCAAATAGGCCTAATGGGCTGGTTTGGTCGAACAGACCAAATGGTCCTTTGGACCATATGACCAATCAAATAAGTAATAAGTTCATCCAAGGTCCCTTAACTTGTCGACGAATCCGATTTTCATCCTTCAACCAAAAAACCAGATACAACGGGTCCCTCAACTATCAAAACCGGTGCAATATAGGTCCCATGGCGTTTTGGACGGCGGTTTTAGCTTACGTGGCGCCTACGTGGCTAAATTGACCTGGTCTTCATCTGACGTGGCATAGATGTGGCATTGACGTGGCAATTTGATTTGGAAATTAATAAAAAAAGAGTGACCCCACATGTCAGCTACACTAAAAGAATTAATTAAAAAATGATGGGTCCTACATGGGCCCCACTTGTCATTCACTCCCCTCATCTTCTTCCGACACGGCCGGCCGGCGGCGGCGGAGCCAGGGATGACCTCGAGGATGAGGATGCCGGGGAGCTGCGCCTGGACGGGGACGCTGACCTCCTCTTCGCCTTCCTCATCGTCTACGTCCAGACCTCCTCTTCGCCTTCCTCATCGTCTACGTCCAGGCACTTACCGTCAGCGTCCCCGTCCAGGCGCAGCTCCCTGGCATCCTCGTCCTCGAGGTCATCCCTGGCTCCGCCGCCGCCGGCCGGCCGTGTCGCCGAACCGCCGGCGCCTGGAGAGAGGAGAGGGGAGATAGGGAGAGAGGAAGAAGATGAGGGGAGTGAATGATAAGTGGGGTCCATGTAGGACCCACCATTTTTTAATTAATTATTTTGGTGTAGCTGACATGTGGGGTCACTCTTTTTTTATTAATTTCTAAATCAAATCGACCTCCTCTTCGCCTTCCTCATCGTCTACGTCCAGGCACTCACCGTCGGTGTCCCCGTCCAGGCACAGCTCCCCGGCGTCCTCGTCCTCGAGGTCATCCCTGGCTCCGCCGCCACCGGCCGGCCGTGTCGGAAGAAGACGAGGGGAGTGAATGACAAGTGAGGCCCATGTAGGACCCACCATTTTTTAATTAATTCTTTTGGTGTAGCTGACATGTGGGGTCACTCTTTTTTTATTAATTTCCAAATCAAATTGCCACGTCAATGCCACATCTATGCCACGTCAGATGAAGACCGGGTCAATTTAGCCACGTAGGCGCCACGTAAGCTAAAACCGCCGTCCAAAACGCCATGAGACCTATATTGCACCGGTTTTGACAGTTGAGGGATCCGTTGTATCTGGTTTTCTGGTTGAAGGATGAAAATCGGATTCGTCGACAAGTTAAGGGACCTTGGATGAACTTATTCCATCAAATAATGTTCATTGAGGGGATAAAGTTATTTTACATATAAAAGTTTAAATTAGTTAGCAATATTCAAAACAATATATAGAACAAAAGTAACTTCTCAAACACAGCCTACAAGATTATAATTACAACCATGTTGTGCAATTTTACTTAAATATAGACCCAAGAACCAAGGGAATAGTGAAATTCTATAATTTTGGTTCTTACGATAATATCACAAGCTTAGCATAATCATAGTAAATTATTTATTTTTATGACAATACACGTTTATTACAGATCAAGATAAAATATTTGTGTTGCACCTAGACTTCTTTGCCAATACTTTCTCTGAACATTAATTTAAGTATGTAAAACAAAATTATATTTGTGAAAAGCAGGAGGATAAGTAGAAAATAATAGGAAGATAAGGGGTTGTGCAACAAAGAAGGGAATATTTAACCATTTGCCACATTTAGATGTGGCAATTAACTTTTTGCCACTGGACCCATATGTCATAGACACATGTGGACCTACATGTCATTGAGATAGAGAATAGGGTGGCAAGGCGGCGGCTCAAGTGGCAACAATAAAGGTGCTAAGGGTCTGGGGAATCGGAAGGAGGAAACGGCATGGAGAAGATGAATATAAATCCTAAGCCTATACGATGCGCTCACCATTTTGTTTTAGCCGAAAGATGGGTATTTATTGTTAATTGTTATCCTATATATACTTATATATATACTTATATAGTTAATCCCCACTAAGTATAGTTAATGATATTTCTCTCTTCTCTCTTTAAGCCATATCACCCAAATTATTTATAACATTTGGATTGTAGATCTATGGTCCAAATTGTTTCTTCTTTCTTCTCTCTTAAAAACATACAATCTTAATTATTTTTAGGCTCAAAATTGTATCAAATTGTTTTAGTTTTGATAATCAAATTACATCTTATTTGTACATATTATGCAACTTAATTTTCCGCAGCAACACGGCAGGGTATTAATCTAGTTTAACAACACTTAATAGGTAGGAAGATTATAGTTGCACGAAAGCAAGCTCTAGGTTCAGCTGAAACACCACCTGAGCTTATGATTCCTATTAGACAAAAATATTATATGACAACAATTAAAATCAAACATAAATACGGAAAAGAAATATCTTTAGAAGTGAAATAAGTATCTATGAGTTGGGACAATAAACAGTGATTTCAAATCTAATGTATAATATCATTAATATTCTTTTCACATACCATTCATATTAGAATGGTCATAGTCGCACCAAGGTGCGACTTAATTCACTAGTATAAAGAGAAAAGACATTACCACAGATTTAAGATAATGCGTCTAAACATGACTGCCAAAATAAAATAAAAATAACTTAAAATCCTTGCCAAAAAACTATAACTGAAAATAAAATCCTCCCATTTGAAGAAAAAAAAAAGGAAAAGAACTAAAGGAAATGACCTAAAATTACATGAAGTCTTATTTTGAAAGGTCAGTACAGTTCTTCGGTGCTTCTATTCTATATGTCTTTCTAATTTTATATAACTTCTGATGTTTGTTTGAAAACAGTGAAAAATATACATTATTGAAAACAGGAACTCCCTCTGCCAACCTCCCACTGATCTGTAATATATAGCATGCTTGGAATGGGATTAAGTACTTACAAATAGTAATAGTGCTAAGAGATTAAATAAGAATCATTTTATCTTTACTTTTTTTAAAAAAAATTACGTACGATTAATCGATTAGAATTCCCTATCAAAACGCGGAAGGCATCATGCCATATAAGCCTACAAATATATGTGTTCCCTCTAAATTATGAGTGATAATGGAACAGGTATTTCCTGACCACCCACTCGACTTGAGGCTTGCGGTAAGAATATAGGAGAGAAAACAGGATAACCGATACTATCCAATTTCAAATCTAGACGCATAAAAAAATATAGTTTGGATACCGAAAAACTTGTATCTGGCCGTATGTCTCATATTATGAAACATATATGAAAATATATTGTACATCCATATTTGATAAAAGATTGGTTAATCATTATATTACGACCTTAGATACAATATTGTATAATTTTTTCATTAATGTATCTATTTTTTAACACTATAATTGTCTCTCTATATTTAATATTAGTATGTATTAGAGATATAAATTAAGTAAATAATATTAGATAGGATACATTATGTGTAATACGTTATCCGGCACCATCAATACCCGGTTCTAAATTTAAAGCAAAATACAAGCTAGAATACGGAGATAGTGAAGAGATAAAAAAAAAGATATTTATGCACCGGATGTAGGTAAGAAGATAAAAATCAATCTATTAACACAAAGTTTAACTCTAAAGTAAGTTGTTTTACGACAGAGAGAGAGAGAGAGATAGAGAGTACTCAAGATGGTTTTTGTTTTTACACGATTATTAAGAAAACACTGCAGAGTACTTACTCAAAAGTTTAATATCCTTGAACAAAACCCGTCCGAGATGATTTCATCTCAGATAGTTCTATCCGGCTATCCCTGGAGAGCGCAGAGTAAAAAAAAAAAAACTGTGACGATTTTACAGAACCGTCTAATATATAGTATATATATAAGGTGTGAAGGGCGACTCATATTGTACTCACCTGATGAACCTGACCGAAAATCTGATGCTGTGCTTCGGACAATAAGCACAACGATCTCCACCGTCACGAATATAAGAAACAGGCGGTATCTAAAAGCCATGATCAAATAGGGGCAGAAATGAATATCTCTCCGCTTTCACCGATAGCTAAACACAGAGCCTTAATCTTCTTTCTTCGTTGTTCTACATATCCTGCTAGTTTCCGTTCAATATAAAGGGTGCGAACTAAGAAAACGTCAAGTCATCACCGAACAAATTTTTCAAAAGCCATCGACCTTCCATGTATGATGTGATGTTTTTTCTTCGCGATCTTCCCAATCTGTTCAACGCCCTGTGGACAAGTTAAAATACATACGAAGTTTCTTCGAAAGTTTAAAGCGTTCCGGTACAACTGAGAATTGACTATTGAGCCGCTCAGCACACCTTCCATTCAGCTAGTTATATATCGAATTATTGTTGTGGATATCTTTAAAAATAAATGTTTTCTCAAAAATGTTTCTTTGATTTCATTGTTTATACCACTTTTTCTAAATTATTATTTTCATAATATTTAATTTATTAAGAGAGTGTTAACTAATGCAATGGACTTCCATTCGCACAACTCGGTGGTTTCCTGCTCCACGTCATGGTTTCTAAGCCCGGTTAGACTGCCCGTACAGGTCCAGTCAGACCGCCGGAAGTTCTCTCCATTGATTTTACTAACAAGGACTTATCATTTTGCGGAAAAATAAGGTCTTAATGTAGTTTGCATTATCGAAACAATAGTCAACCTATTCCAGCTTAATTCAACACGATCTCCGTAATTAAGTCCATACACGGAATCTAGTCATGTTCAACAGGAATACATTGACTATTCGACTAAGGGGCTGTTTAGTTTCCCGAACAAAAACTTTTCACCCATCACATCGAATATTTTAACACATGTATAAAGTATTAAATATGAAAAAAAAACCAATTATACAGTATGCGTGTAAATTGCGAGACGAATCTTTTAAGCCTGCGCCATGATTTGACAATGTGGTGTTACAGTAAATATTTGCTAATGATAGATTAATTAGGCTTAATAAATTCGTCTCGTAGTTTTCTGGCGGAATCTATAATTTATTTTGTTATTAGACTAAGTTTAATACTTCAAATGTGTGTCCGTATATTCGATGTGACAACTAACCCTAAAATTTTTTCCCAACTAAACAAGACCTAAGAATCTGGCACCATCAAACAATCAGCATGGGTAGAAAATGTCATCTGCAGCTACGCCATCTTAAAATCATATTGACTAAAAGCCTATGAAATGTCCTAGTCCACTATAAGAATCAAAAGCATCTCAAAACTTAAAAGGGGCAATTGCTCATTTTATCCTATTTCGAAGCTTAACTTATTAATATGACTATACTTTTTTTAGTTCGCTTATTTAACCATGCTTTTCAAAATTGAAGATGAATGCTTACCCAATTCCGTTAAAGCGAGTTAACGGTGTTAACTAAAGGGCAAATGGCCCCTTTTGCTCTACTTATTTGACCCTGTTACATCAAAACGTGCATATATTTGGATCTTTTGACATATTTGTAACGAATTCTGTATATCTACCAGATTAGAGATAAGTTTGACAGATTTGGCTTCAATTTATAAATTTGAAAATTTTGAATCAATTTAACAAATTTGACTTAAATTTGACGGATTTTTGACAAAATAAGGCAAATAAAATTTGGCAGAATTTTTAACAAAATTTTGACAGCATATTGTCTTATTTTGTGGATCCCAACACTACTGGAGAAACCATCTTTACTCGGTCGAGCAAAAACCACAATAGTCCCAGTTGCAATAAAAATCGGGATTAAAGATTATCTTTAGTCTCGGTTCGAAAGATTAGAGCTACTTTTTTATACCAACCGGGACTAAAGATCATTTTTAGTCCTGGTTAAAAGAACAACATGCAATGTCAGACCTCTCTATTATCTTTAGTCCTGGTTGGTGTTACCAACCGGGACTAAAGATATATTTCTAGTCCCGGTTAGTTACACCAACCGGAAAAAAAGATTGGCATGCGCGGCGGAGAGGCTGAGGCATGCGTGAGATCGAGGAGGAGGAGACGGATCAGTTAATAAGTTCTATCTCCTCCACCCTCACCTTATCTCTTCCTCCTCTTCACCCCATCTCTTCCTCTTCCTCCTCCTCTCCTCATTCTCTTCCTCCCCTAGGCGGCAGCGGCGGCGGCGGCCTCGCACCGCGGCGGCCGGGCGGCTGCGCATCTGGGAGGGGAGGCAGCCGGCCACCGCCGGATCCGAAGGGGGAGGCGGCCGGTGCGAAGGCTAGTGCAGCGGTAGGCGGTGGAGGCCGGCGCTGCTTTTGGATTTTTTTTTCTTTTGTCCTTACCGTGTGATTCAATATGTGTTGTTGTGAATGATTTGGGATGAACTATATTACCGTGAATGATGAATGTTTGATCTGAGATGATTTGGGCAAATAGCAAAAGAACAGTGAAAAAGAGAGAGAAGAAAAAAAAGAAGGAAAAAACCCTCTAGCCGGGACCACATCACACCAACCGGGACTAAAGATCGATTGAACCGGGACTAAAGATAGCGATATTTATTCCGAATTCACCGTTCCGGTTGTATAACTGGGACAACAGATGGTTGCCAACCAGTGGTAAAGATTGGTTGTGCAGCCGTGCAAATTGCATACAATGATGTAGAAACACAAATTATAGTCAAATCCAACAGAGATGATAACCAAACAACAAATTCACGGCAAGTGCCATAACAGTAGTCGCCGATGCCACACGCAACAGTTGCCACTCCCCCGTGCACTGGCACCAACGCTGCCAGCGCCTCCCTCCGCGTGATGGCGCTCTGCTGCCTCCTCCCTCCACGCGCCGGCACACCGCCGCCCGCACCTCCCTCCACGCGCCACTGCCCCCTCCTCCCTCCACACGCAAGCGCACCACCACCCGCGCCTCCCTCCCCGCGCCGGCACCATCGCCGCTCCTCACTCCACGGACCGGCGCCACAGTCGTGCCCTCCCTCCACATGCAGGCACATCACCGCTTATCCCCTCCGTGCGTCGTGCACCTCCCTCTACGGCGGCGCTCTCTCCCTCCGCGCCCCGACGCTGCTGCTACCTGCCTCCACGAGCCAGCGCCGCTTCTCCGCGCCGCCCTCCCTTCGCGAGCCGGTGCTGGTGCGGATCCCCTCCCTCCATAGCCCGCCGCTCCCTCCCTCGACGAGCCAACACCGCCGCTTTATCCCCTCAGTGTGTCGCCACCACCACTCGCCGAGAGAGAGACGGGATACAAGAGAGAGAGAGGGGATCTGAAGGGACATGGTTATATGTGGATTGGGTTTTTCGAGGGTATTTTGGTCATTATGAAAAGTAATTATATATTTTTTCTTTTTTTAATGAAACTTTAACGGTGCAATGAAAGCAGAGTCAGACAGGTGTTCATTGTGAAAAGCAGGGTCAAATAAGCAAAAAAAAAAAAAGTCTAGATTACTAGTTAGGTTTTGAAATATTGTCAAATAAACGATTGTCTCAACTTACAACCATACGATAATGCTCTACTCTGAGCGACCGGCGCGGGGGGAGCCGGATCGGGCGCTCCCCTCCCCCTACATGCGTATCTGCTGGACCCACCTACTTCTCCCTCCCCTTTTTTTCCACAAAAGATGTTTCAACTAGTATACTTACAATGTTTCACTATTTATAGATCTACAGTGAATTAAAATATTCTTTTGCAAAAAAAACCCACATATTTTGAAAACTCTTTATTAAGGGAATTTGGTTTATTTTTTGTTCCACAAAAAAATGTTTCACCTAGAGTACTCATAATGTTTCACTATGTATAAATCTAATGTTGTAGTGAACGAAACATTCCATTGCAACAAAAAAAAAAAAACCACGTATTTTGGAAACCCCCTATTAAGGGAATTTGATTTATTTTTTATTCCACCGAAAAATGTTTCACATAGTGTACTCACAATGTTTCACTATGTATAGATTTAATGTTGCAGTGAACTAAAACATTCTTTCGCTATTTTCTGAAACATTGTTTTTATATAAGGTGAAACAACATCTGATTTAAACGAGTGAAACATTTTCGATCTACTTACTGAAACAATTCCGATATACCTGGTGGAACATCGTGCAATATTTAAAAATAATTCAATAATAAGCTATTTTTTTCGTCGGAATATATCCACGTGTGGTCTTGTTTTGAAGTTTAATTGTAATGAAATTAATGGTGCAATTAGATCAGGATTTGGATAAGTAATTTAGAAGAAAAATCAGTTTAAAATAGTTTTGCACGTAAATCGAACGCTGACGTCACACTGCGTCCACAACCATATTGTCTAAAATACACACCAGCCAGATGTGTCATGTGCAGCTTCCCCGCGGAAGAAAAAGAAAAAAAAGTCATGTGCAGCTATGCATGCATATTGCACTGCAGCTCTACCTGCACGAGCAATTCCTCAAATATCTCCACGGAACCGTCCACCACCCTATTGACAAGCTCCCTGATTCGGTTTTGGGTTTTGACACATGCCTTTCCACCGAACAACCGTTGAAGTCCATTCTCAGGCTCTCAGCTTGCCCAAAGAATCAAATTAACACAGCGAGCAACAGCAAGAGCTTGATGGCATCCTTCCTGACATCACATATAGCACGGCCAAACTTGAGAAAATCAAGAATACCACCAGGCGACGCAATCCCGGCGAAGCATGAGGACGCGGCTTCAGGCCGCCGTTCAAATACCGCGATGCAGAACTTCCGCCACGAGAGCTAATTCGGGCGCGCGCGTTTTTAGGCCCATAAGGCTCACGCGTAGCGTCTACGTCCGTAACTTTTTTCCTGGAAAAGCTACCGTCTGTGTTTTTTCGTTTCTTTTTGCATTTTTTTTGTGATTTTTTTATTTTAGAAGTTGAATCTTTCATCTTCAATTTTAGTTGAAAGTTTCAAATTTGAGTTGAAAATTTTTAAGATTTGAGTTGAATTTTTGAACTTTGAGATGAAAGTTTTTAAATTTAAGTTAAATGTTTTGAATTTTCAGATGAAAGTTTTTAAATCTGAGTTGAAAGTTTCAAATCTGTAGTTAAAAGTTTCTAAATCTGACTTGAAAGTTTTCAAATCTTGACTTGACTTGAATTTTTTCAAATCTAGATTTGAAAGTTTTCAAATCTGGGTTGAAAGTTTTCGAAGTTGAGTTGAAAGGTTTTCAAATTTAAGATGAAAAGTTGAAAGTTTTCAAAATTTGACTTAAAAAATTTAAATTTCGAGTTAAAAATTTCAAATCTAGATTTAAAATTTTGAAAATTTGACTTCAGGTATAGATTTCTTTTCAATTTGTTAGTTAGAAAAATCTCATGAAAAAAAATCTTAACTACTACCGTCATTATTTCAAATTGTAATTATCTAAAACTAATTGATTAGCTAACTATACCTTCTCGTCCGAAACGCGCGCTGGAGGCACACACGCGCCAAGTAGGCGCCACCGCTATGCCTTTGGGAGGTGGCGCACTGCAAAATATCTCTCAAATCTAGATGCGGTCCCCAACGCTCCACGTTTGGGGTGAGAATGTAACATGAGCATTCTCGGTTGGGTTCCTGACACTTTCTATCCCGAGAAGACAATTTCTTTTTGGATTTATCGTATTCTCTTAATCAAAAGATACATTCCCATGTATAATTAGGTATATGGTACTTCCGTATAGTACAAACCCAACTATAGAAGATACCTACTATATTCAGTGTTTTATCCTTAACACTGATACCCACTATATTTTCTCACCCTCTACACTAGAGGTTAGCAAAAATATGTCATGCATGCATCTACCATATGTGATACTTCTACACTGAAAATCAGCATCAGTCATCCATCCACCAAATAAAGACTTCATACGCTTACAATCCTACCTCTAACTATTCATACAAAATGAGACATGAGCCAAAAAAAAATGTTGATGAGAAAAAGAGAAATGCTCACAAAGAAAAAGAGACAAAATATTCTCGAGCATGAAAAAAAGAAAAAAAAAAGGGAGAAAAATAGCCATGTTCACTAAATAAGTGCAAGGAGGAGGATCATACAAAGGGGTTATCATTTCACTTTCACATTTCCACACACATGCATATCTTGATCATAGTTTTATAACTAGCTATCTTCTTGAATCCGATTTTTGACTTTACAATGTATGTTATACAAGTACGCCATTCTTATTTTCTACCATGAGCTCCACATAAGCCTTATGACAAGTAGAATTAGAAAAATGTACAATCAATGTCATGGTGAGAAGTCGTACACATTGAGCGATCCGAGAGAATCAATTAAGGAAAAAAATTAAAGTTACGTTCCTTATCAGCAAAAAGAAAAAAAACAAATTACTTGTCAGGAGTAACTTGAATCAAAGCCGTTCCATTCTTTAATCACCAAATATGACAAGGTAGTGTTGATAAAAAAATCCGCGCTCGGTCGATAGTGCCAAATCTGCGTTAACGCGAACTAAGTCGACAAAAACACGAAGGCCTGGGAGATCCGCTTAACTCCAATACAGGTCCTAAAATAGATGATATGCTAGCGTGCCAGTCAGTACGATCTTGTAACTGACAAGATATATAAATAGCAGATCAAAGAGCCAATCGGCTGACAAGCTAATGGGGTAATTCCAGCCGATGTCGCTAGGGTTTTGAGCAATCGGCTATATGTCCAATGTAGTTCAGTGTACGTTTAATACTTCTAATTAGTGTCCAAACATTCGATATGACAGGGACTAAACTCTAGTCCCTGGTTCCAAACATGGTCTTAGAAACAACTAGATAAAGGTTCAGTGAAAAGCCTATCTACCTTAGCACACAGCAAACCGACTAGGGGTAGGCCCCTAGTAGAACCATCCTGAAGATCAACTATTCCCACATCACTCAAACCTAAGCAACAATTCTAACCTAAGCAATAATTCTATTTTATCACTTAGCATTTGTGAGTTATGAATTTACCAAGCTCTATGTTAGTTATACTTTATTTAAGTTAAATAATTCTAAGTATAGTTTATATCTAAGTTCTATAAAGATTTGGGTTACAGCAATAAAGAGTGTGTTCTATGAAATTCAACCCCGTTGAGTTTTCCATTTTTAGAGCTAGTATGAATTTTACAAGTTATGTGACCAATTGTAGTATTTACTAGCTATACTATATTTTAGAAGTTTTAACTCTACTCCATCCGTCTCATTTTAAGTGTATTTTTTTGGTTTCTGTGTCCAATATTTGGCCGTCTGTCTTATTTGAATTTTTTTATGATTAGCAATCTTATTGTTATTAGATGATAAAACATGAATAATACTTTATCTGCGACTTTTTTTAACTTTCTCATAAATTTTTCAAATAAGACGAACAATCAAACGTTGAAAACAGAAACCCATAACTGCACTTAAAATGGGACTGAGGGAGTAGTACTATATGTTCTACATTTAATTCAGAGTAATTAAGATCATAAAATTATGAGTCTAACGAATGTAGAGCCACTGCATTTGAACTTATAACTAATTATTTATAAATTTTAGAAGTTTTTATATGATGTTTTCTTATCAACGACCAATGAGCAGTGACTGGGCCTAAACCAGTCACAAATGTCAAAGATACATCATTGGTATCGAAAGGATAAGGTGAAATTTCCAGACTTATCAATTTCATACGACTTTGAGGCAGATCATGTGTTGACTAATGTAATGGAATGGACTTCCATTGTCGAGGAAATTACCACGTAAATTTGTTCTTACTTTTCTATTCTTGAAGTTTCAACTATTTCATACCTGTGGACAGTGACAATTTTCCCATGATTGACATGTTCGATGACATAATCCAAAGTAATAACGATATAAGCTCTACAAATATAGATTAGTGATCTGCCAAAGAAAATAACAAATACGTTTAAAATTAATATCCATCATGTTCCTCCAATTAGTTTTATAAAGCATTGATATTCCTTTTTCCTGACAACAGGGCACCATAGGACAAAAGTGTTTGTCTAATGCACAAAATATGTAAGAGGTTTGATAGCACAGTTTACTTTGTGGATTGTTAGGTGAAATTGGAAAAAGATCATGCTTTTCAAATGAACCATCAGAAGTTCAGAACTGGTCTACACCGCGTCGCAAAATACCGTCAGACGGATGTTGGAAAATGTACGTAGGCAGGCAAATTGTCAGTTGGTATAACTAACTAATAAGGTACCATTACTTATTTTGCTGAAAAATAAGGTCTGAAAGTTTGCATAATAAAACAATCTAGTCAAAGCTTAATTCAACAAGATCTCCGTAATTAAGTCCATGCACGCAACCTAATCATGTTCAACAGGAATTAATGCATTCACTATTTGACTAAGAATATGGCACCATCCAACAATCAACATGGGTCAAAGATGTGGCCAATATATGGTTTTAATGGGTAGAAGATCTTGACGCATCCTAGTCCACTATAATTAAGAATCACAAGCATCTCATAACTTACCACCAGCATACTGTCCAAAATACACACCAGCAAATTAAGCAAGATGGCATGTGCAGCTCTGGTTGCAGTCGCTGCAATCCTCTTCTTCTCCACCCTGACAGCATTAGCTGATGAACGGGAAGCACTGCTTTGCCTGAAATCACATCTTTCAAGCCCAAACGGGTCCGCCTTCTCCACATGGAGCAACACCATCTCACCCGATTTCTGCACCTGGCGCGGCGTCACTTGCTCCATCAAGCTCCAAGAACGACCTCGTGTGGTTGTGGCCCTGGACATGGAGGCAGGAGGCCTCACCGGAGAGATCCCACCCTGCATCTCCAACCTCTCGTCCCTCGCGAGAATCCACCTCCCCAACAATGGCCTCTCAGGTGGCCTCACATTCACAGCCGATGTGGCCAGGCTCCAGTACCTCAACCTCAGCTTCAACGCGATCAGTGGTGAGATCCCACGAGGCCTCGGTACGCTTCCTAACCTCTCATCCCTGGACCTAACCAGCAACAACCTCCATGGCAGAATCCCACCATTGCTTGGGAGCTCATCGGCGTTGGAGTCTGTCGGCCTCGCGGACAACTACCTGACCGGAGAGATCCCATTGTTCTTGGCTAATGCGTCGTCACTCCGCTATCTTTCACTGAAGAACAATAGCCTCTACGGGAGCATCCCTGCAGCACTTTTCAACAGCTCAACCATCAGGGAGATATACCTTAGGAAAAACAATCTTTCTGGTGCAATTCCACCCGTAACGATGTTCACTTCACGGATCACCAACCTTGATCTTACAACAAATAGCCTGTCAGGAGGCATACCACCATCTCTAGCGAATCTCTCATCGCTTACAGCATTTTTAGCTGCACAAAACCAGTTGCAGGGAAGTATACCGGATTTTAGTAAGCTGTCGGCGCTACAATATCTTGACCTCTCTTACAACAATCTTTCTGGGGCTGTAAATCCCTCCATTTACAACATGTCGTCCATCAGTTTTCTCGGTTTGGCCAACAACAATCTTGAGGGGATGATGCCTCCTGACATAGGAAACACACTTCCTAACATCCAAGTTCTCATGATGTCTAACAACCATTTTGTTGGAGAAATCCCTAAATCTCTAGCTAATGCTTCCAACATGCAGTTTCTGTACCTGGCCAACAACTCTTTGAGAGGGGTGATTCCTTCTTTTAGTTTGATGACAGATTTGCAGGTTGTCATGCTGTACTCAAACCAGTTAGAAGCTGGAGACTGGGCATTCCTATCATCCTTGAAAAATTGCTCCAATCTGCTGAAACTGCACTTTGGTGAAAATAACCTACGTGGGGACATGCCCAGCTCTGTAGCCGACCTGCCGAAAACATTAACTTCACTCGCTCTCCCGTCAAACTATATATCTGGCACCATTCCCTTGGAGATTGGGAACCTATCTAGCATGTCCCTACTCTATCTTGATAACAATCTATTGACAGGGAGCATACCTCATACTCTTGGCCAACTAAACAATCTTGTTGTCCTTAGCCTTTCACAAAACAAATTTTCAGGAGAAATACCACAATCCATTGGTAACTTGAATCAATTGGCTGAACTTTATTTATCAGAAAATCAACTGAGTGGAAGAATACCTACAACTTTAGCGAGGTGCCAACAATTGTTGGCATTGAACCTTTCAAGTAATGCCCTTACTGGAAGCATAAGCGGAGACATGTTTGTCAAGCTAAATCAATTGAGTTGGCTACTTGATTTATCACACAACCAATTCATAAGCTCCATACCACTAAAATTTGGTAGCCTGATAAATCTTGCTTCTTTGAACATTTCCCACAACAGACTCACAGGCAGGATCCCATCTACACTTGGTTCTTGCGTCCGATTGGAATCACTTCGTGTAGCAGGCAACCTCCTAGAGGGAAGTATTCCACAATCATTAGCAAACCTCAGAGGCACCAAAGTGCTGGATTTCTCCGCGAACAATTTATCTGGTGCAATACCGGATTTCTTTGGGACTTTCACCTCATTACAGTATCTAAATATGTCATACAACAACTTTGAGGGGCCAATTCCAGTTGGTGGAATATTTTCTGACAGAGATAAGGTGTTTGTCCAAGGAAATCCACACCTTTGCACCAATGTTCCAATGGACGAGTTGACTGTCTGCTCTGCTTCAGCATCCAAAAGAAAGCATAAGCTCGTTATTCCAATGTTGGCAGTTTTTTCATCTATTGTCTTACTTTCTTCAATCCTCGGATTATATTTGTTGATCGTAAATGTTTTCCTGAAAAGGAAGGGGAAATCCAATGAGCACATAGATCACTCCTACATGGAGCTGAAAAAGTTAACATACAGTGATGTTAGCAAAGCAACAAATAATTTTTCTGCAGCCAACATAGTCGGCTCTGGGCATTTTGGGACAGTCTATAGAGGTATACTGGATACAGAAGACACTATGGTCGCTGTTAAGGTGTTCAAGCTCGATCAGTGTGGTGCATTGGATAGCTTTATGGCAGAGTGCAAAGCATTGAAGAACATCCGTCACCGAAATCTTGTCAAGGTGATAACTGCATGCTCAACTTATGATCCGATGGGCAGTGAGTTCAAGGCTCTAGTATTTGAATATATGGCTAATGGTAGCCTAGAAAGCCGACTACACACAAGGTTTGATCCATGTGGTGATTTGAGTTTGGGAGAAAGGATTAGCATAGCATTTGATATTGCTTCTGCTCTAGAATACCTTCACAACCAATGCATTCCACCTGTTGTTCACTGCGATTTGAAGCCAAGCAATGTACTTTTCAACCATGACTATGTTGCCTGCGTCTGTGACTTTGGTCTGGCAAGGTCAATTCGTGAATATTCATCCGGAACTCAAAGCATATCAAGAAGCATGGCTGGGCCAAGGGGGTCTATTGGGTACATTGCTCCTGGTGAGTTGGTTTTCACTTTTCAGAGCACACTGCAGAAAATCATTTATTTAATATAACGAAATTACGATTATATCTCTTATGATTATACACCCCCGTTGCTGTAGAAGCGGGGTTTAAAAATTCCCATTATCTAAAAAAATCTCTTATGATTATAATATGGTACTCCTATATTTTGCTGGTTATCTGAATCTTTTGTTTTCAAACAAAGCAGAGTATCATTTAATAAAAAGGACTTCAGTATTTTATGATTAACAATATGGTTCATTTTACTGGTGATCTGAGCTTTTTGGTTTCAAAACATTGCAGAGTATGGCATGGGCAGTCAAATCTCAACTGAGGGTGATGTCTATAGTTATGGCATTATTCTTCTGGAAATGCTAACAGGAAGACACCCTACCAATGAAATATTTACTGATGGCTTCACACTCCGCATGTATGTCAATGCATCACTTTCACAGATCAAAGACATACTTGACCCCAGGCTTATTCCTGAAATGACAGAACAACCTTCTAATCATACCCTGCAATTGCATGAACACAAGACAGGTATAATGGATATCTGTGCTCTACAACTCCTTAAACTTGGCCTGGAATGCTCTGAAGAGTCGCCAAAAGATCGGCCATTGATACATGATGTATATAGTGAGGTAATGTCAATAAAGGAAGCATTTTTCGCCACGAGCATTTGACGTTAGGTAATAAAATGGTGTCAATAGAAGTGGAACACTGAGGAATGAAGCATGAACGTTAGGTAATAAATTGGTGTCTGCAGCACTGCCGAATTTATCTTCCGAAGTTTCTTGATCACTACAGCAGTAAGCTACAGATGTTTTTGCTGCTACAACACGATACATTTGCACACTGTTATTTACTGATGCATTTCAAGCAGCAATTCCTATCATGTAATAAAAATTCTTGTATAGTTCAATGATTTGTTGCCGGGATGCAGCTTGATCTGTTTTCAAAGTACTACTACTAGTAAAGCCTTCACGTCACAGGAATAAAGAAAAATATAAAAATAGTATCGCATATTCTATCTTACTTAGGAAAGATAGACATATTTGGTAGAGCTCCAACTCATAAATTTAACTTTAGGAATTGGGTTTAGAGTGGAGTTGTAGAGCAGCCTAAACCCAGCTCCACCTCTGTAGTTCATTTTCTCTAATTCATTTTGTGAGAACACACTCCAAGCAGCTCCACACTCATTTTAAATAGAGCTGAAACTGTTTAGCTAGACTTCAGCTCCACCTTTGAGTCCCCGAGGGTAAATTCGTGTGATTTTGGGGTAAATTAGGTTACGTACGGTAAATTCGGGTGTAATCTGGAAGCTGTGCCTGAGCGTGTTAAGCATTTTATTAGTTGGAAATTTTATAGTATTTGTTGATTGTTGACAATTGAAATTTCTAGTTGGTATTTTTTTAGTCCGTAAGATGCAAATCTAAAGGGAGATAATTTTTCTCAAAAATCACCCGACGGATGCATAGGCAATTCCTCTTTTGTTACGCCATTTATACTGGCGTGGCGGTAGTTAAATGCCACGCCATGTTTGCTAGCAAGGCACTATCTTGGCAACCACAACATCCACACAGATTGATAGCCAAATGGAGGACATGAAAATGCCATATCTTACTGGTGGGTGTCAACTGAGTACAGCTTCTACAGGGCATTGCCTAGTTCCATCTTTAACCATAAACATCAGAATTCAAGATACAAATCACACATGAGCAGCTCTTTCCTTTCACCTATATGTTGTTTGGCCTCAGAATAGGGAAACCTACCTCCTGTTCCTTTCATAATCTGTCCACATCTTCTTCGCAATATAATCTCTCAAAGCATCACCCATGCTACATTGGTTGTTCAGTTCTTCGACATCATTGCCATAAGCATCATCCCCACTGGGTAAAACTACAGTTCTACGGGATGAAACTGGCATTGCCTGGTTAAATGCCCACCCATCATCATCATCATCATCTTTTTGGCCCTGCATTATATTGTGCAGCACCACTGCTGCTGCTGGGATTTTCGCTTGAGTTTCTATCTGATAGAATGTTGCGACATTTAAAATTGGGAACCTCATCTTCAATAGCGCTGTGGCACGCTTTATGTTGTTGCGCAGCTTTGAGTGACGAAGGTTGAACAACTCCTTGTAGTCACTTGGCTGACAATTGCTCTGCTCCTCCTCTTCAATATGGTATGCAGCTTCTCTATAAGGAGCAAGAAAAGATGGTGTGTTTGCATAACCCCTATCAACCAAATAATACTTGTTACTTGGGACTTCAAATCCAGACTCCACAGCAGCATATAGGACTGCCGCGTCGGATGCAGACCCTTCGTGGCCACTGCACACATGGACAAAATTCAAATCAAAGTCACAAGCCAGCATCACATTTTGAGAAAGGGAATCTTCTATATTTCGATATGGAGCTGCTTCATAGTCTGATATTGTGATAGGTACATGAACTCCATCGATTGCCCCTATACAGTTCTGCAAGGAAACACACTACTGATTCAGATGTAGCAGAGAAGTGTAGAACTTCATACAATGCAAAGAGACAGGTTAAACCTACCTTAAAATAAGGCCCATATTGCGGATCAGATGATATTTTCCAATGAGTCTCAGTTGAAGGATGCTTGACAAACTCATCTGTCAATGAGGTGATTGCATCAAAGCATGCCTTGATATGTCTATGGATAGTCTCCCTACTGTGCTCAAATCTATCACTCATTTTCTGAAAGCTGGCATTTCGAGAGAGCATATAAATAAACATGCCAATTTGCTCTTCCACAGAAACGCCTCTTGTATTCCGCAAAAGATTCTTTGACCTAAGAAGGTCTGAAAATTTCTGAAGAATTTGAGGCTCCATTCGAAATTTGGCATAGCCTTCACCACGGTCATCTTCAAGCACTTCACAAATCCACTCTGCACCACTGAACTTCGATGTATGACATGGCTCTTCGCTTCCAGTAGAAACAAGATATAGTGTAGGCAAGATAAAAAACATCATGTCATCATCTTCATCTTCCTCAGAGTCAGTAAGATCTTCAGGATCCATTTTCTCAAAATCTATTAGAATCCGAGTAGATTAATTTTAGAATGATGAACTGATAAGAATATCAAATGCCTAAAACAATGATGAAAATTCGAGTGCTGGCTGCAAAACCCCTGAGGAGTTAAACAAAAGCATAACAATATTTGTAGTTTTATGCGTGAAATACAGGCCAACAATCCGAGTCCCAAGATTTTACATTCTTTGTAGTTGAACAAATTACACAACAACTTAATTTTAAATCAAGGAAATACAGATCATATTTGTAACAAAGCAACCTTGCATCAAAATTTTGGCTCGCAATTTCGCATAGTTTATGATCCAGAACACATGCTACTGTCTATATTTTAAAAAATACTCTACAGATGAGCCCATCCCCCTTGGTATTCCTCCAAACAACAGAGGAATGTGAAAGAAGTCACACGAATGATTCAAGGAAAGGCCCTCAGTTATACTGTTGAGGCAGTGCAGCCAACTTCAGCGTCGCATCAGCTACCTAACTAAGGACGATTGGTGAAATGCCAATAAATCCTTCCTACTCCTATACATTACCGCGGCCGCATCAAAGTAACAGAAATAGCAAATCCCACAGCACAGATGATGCAGAACATAGCGGCATTTACACATCAGTAGAACACACAGTGAATCGATCCTATCTCTCAACTAATTGATGGATACATCCGTAGCCGCATGAAGCACAAATGCACAATGGATTGCTGTTAGCTATTCAAATGATTGGAGAAGTATGTGCTCTTTTACCTGAGGATCGGAAACGGAACCGGAACCTTCAACTTGGCCGGAAAACAAGGGCGAAGTAGCCGAGGCCGCCCAAGTCGCCGCCGGCGGGGGGATGGCGACGGAGCCGGGACGGAAGAAGCAGCCCTTCTAGCCGACGGGAAGAGCGCGCAGGCGAGGAGAGGAGGATCTCGGAGGCAGCGAGGTCACCGGACCCGACCGACGGGCGAGCGATTCGACGGCGACGAGGGCACGCAAGCGGAAGCGGCAGCGGCGACGGCGACGGCGACGGCAACGGCGAGGAAACCCTTGCCGAGTTGACTAGCCTTGTCTGGAATTCTGGATGGGCCGCCAGATAATTACCAGGCCCACATAAACTTGTGGGTCTTAACAGAGGTCCATTAAAAAGCTTAAGGAATAAGTTCACTTTGGGGCCCTCCATTTGTCGCCCCTGTCCGATTTTCGTTTAGTCACAAAACCGGATACGACGGGTCCCCCAACTTACGGAACAGTTTAAATGGGCCCCTCAACAGTATTATATCTGGTTTTGGCTGAGGTAGCACCTATGTGACTCATTTTGACTAGGTTTTTGTCTAACGTGTTGTTGACGTGACGCTTACGTGGTAATTAGATCCGATAAAATAATAAAACTTGTGGGACCCACATGTCAGTTTCACACACAAATAATAAAAAATGATGGGCCCATGTGGACCCACACGTCATCATCACTACCTCTTCTCTCTATCTCCTCTCCCTCTATCCTCTCTCTCCCTCCTCTCTCTCAAGCCGGCGGAGCGTGGTGGGTGGCGGCCGGAGCGGGCGACGGTGGGGTGGAGCATAGGGATGGTCGGCGGTCAGAGCGGCGCCGTGTCATGGCGCGAAGCGGCCAGTTGGCGGCCGGAGCAGCGAGGCGGGCGGCCGACGGCAAGGCAAAGCCATTGGGCGGAGTAGAGGGGTGGCCGGAGCAGCGTGGCGAAGCCGTTGGGCGGAGCGGTGGTAGAGCAGAGGGGTGGAGCCAATGGGCGAAGTGGGGTGGTCAGCGGCCGGTCGACGGCCGGAGCGGCGGCGGGGAAGAAGAGGAGGAGCGGTGCGTCGTGGGCGGAGCAGAGGGGCGGAGCGGCCGGCCGGCGGGGGAGAAGTCGTGGCGGTGGCCAAAGGGGCACGCGACGGCGACCGGCGGGAGCGGAGCAACCCATACCTGCATCCCTGACGAACGGACCGCCGGCGGCGGCGGCGATGGAGCTCCTCCCTACCATGAGGCAGAGGGAGGTGATGCAGGTGGCGCACGTGCGGTGCATCGAGGTGGCGGTGTGGTTGGGGACGAGGAGGGTGACCCTAGGGAGGATGCGGCGGCGAGGTGCGCGGCGGCGGGGGAGGTGGTGGGGAGCGCTGCTGGGGTTGGGAGGAGCGCCAGGATGGACATGGCAATCGCCACCGCGGCGGTCGTGGCGATGGGTACGGGGAGCCGTGTCATCTACAAGCTCGTCTCGTGGCCGCGGCATGCCGCCGCCCCGCCACTCCGCCTGGCCCTCCGCTCCGCCGCCGCTCCGCCGGCTGTGAGGCGGCGCCGCGGCGCGATGATGAAGAAGAGGGAGTGCGTGGAGCGCCGCCTTGCCCCTCGCCTGCTCCGGTCGCCGCCGCTTTGCCGGCCTACTCCGGTTGCGGCCCGGCCCGCCCCTCTCGGCCCCACCCATCGCTTGCTCTGGCTGCGAGAGAGAGAGGAATTATTTTGTGTGTAGCTGACATATGGGTCCCACGATTTTTATTATTTTGTGGGGATAAAATTGCCATGTAAACGCCATGTCAATGCCACGTGGGACGAATATCAGTCAAAGGAGCCATGCAAGTGCCACGTCAGTCAATTAAAACTACGCTCCATACTGCTAGGGGACCTCGTTTGCCCGGTTTTCGTAAGTTGGGGGACGGGTTATACCCGGTTTTGCGGTTAAGGGATGAAAATCGAACTGACGAAGAAATAGAGGGACCTAAAGTGAACTTATTCCAAAGCTTAATAATGAACAGACAACTCCAGGCCCATTATCGTTAAAGGGCCGGCCCACCGGTCCACATGTATGGGCCGTAATTCAAGCCCATACACCCCTATGGACCGAAATTGTTGACGAAAAACAAATGGGCTGAATTCCAAACCTCGTCTTCACGGTGCAGACACGAACAAGTTCGCATCGCATATGCAACTGCAGAGCGCGCGGAGACGACCGAGTTCAAACGGCCACGTTCTCCACTCCCTCCCGCGCGCGCGGCGCCGACGAGGCTTTTTGACGCAACCGCCGCCGACGCTCCCCCTCTCAACGGCTCGATCGATCGATCGCGCGCCTCCGCCTATAAATTCTTGCCACTTCTGTCGATCGCCGCGGCACACCATCAATCACACGTACGAGCAGTTTCCGCTTCTTTCTTCTTCGATCTCCGGCAATCGCTCCATCGATCGGCGCTTTCATCAGTCAGTCAGGCATGGCGGCTGTCGCGGCTTCGTCTCGTCTCCGTCTCCTCCCGTGGCTGTCCTCGCCGCCGGCGCGGCGGCGGCGGCGGCAGGGGAGCAGTACCGCGTCGGTGGCCCCGACGGGTGGATCGCCCCGCCGCCGGAGGAGGAGGAGTTGTACTACTCCCGGTGGGCGTCGTCCATCGCCTTCTACGTCGGCGACTCCATCGGTAACGAATCAACGGCAGTTTCATCTCATCGTCGTCAACTCGTCATCGATCTCCTCTTCTTTAATTTTGCATTCGCATTCGCATCCATGGCGTGTGGTGGCAGAGTTCGAGTACAGGAACGACTCGGTGATCAAGGTGAGCAAGGCGGGGTACTACCACTGCAACGAGACGGCCGGCGTCGACGCCGGCGACGCCCCCGTGCCGGGCGACGGCGCCAGGGTGTTCTACCTCTAGGTCCCCGGCTTCGCCTACTTCGCCAGCCCCGACCTCGGCCGCTGCAACGAGGGCCAGAGGCTCATGATCAACGTCCTCGCCGCCGTGCCGCCGGCAGCAGCGCCGGCGCCGTCGACGGACTACGACACCGGAGCGGCGGCGGGATCCGCGTTCGCCGCGGCGTCGTTCTTCGCTCCCGTCGTGTCGGCTGCCGCGATGGCCATGGCCGGCTTGGTTTGACACTTTGATAAACTATCAAGCGCGTAATATCTACTGTAGGATTGTAATTTCATTTAGGATTAATGATTGCTCGAATTAACTTGCTTAATTCAGGGTTGTTCAAGCAGTGTCGTTGCTGTCGATAATTTAGGATCAGTGTTTGTTCAAGTTCAAACTGTTAGTTTGTGTTAATTAAATGGAGTGTGTCATCTTGTACGTATTTGCATTTTCGATCGATGAATGTGGCGTTTCATGTGTTCAATTCAGTGTAATTAATAGCCGCTTTGTTCCTTTGAGATTATGGCTGACGGTTCTTGTTTGCAATCGTGCACCCTGTTTGTCGATAACTTGAATTAACGAAACTGCTAACCTTCATTGATAGAAAATGGACTTCCAAATGTTGTAGATTTTGTATCATCGGATGTGCTTTTGTGATTCCTGTTACCACCCTTCTCCTTCAGCTCAAACAACCTCCTCATCTTTTCCAACCCCAAGCCTCACTAGGGACCTACGGATTAGGGTCATTGGGGTGGAGGGAGGGGGAAGGGGGGATGTCGTCGGCTTTAGAGGAACGGACATGGGAGGGTAACCCGTGGTGAGCAGCGAGGCAGCCGCGGCGCCGCCGAAGCCACGGGATCATAAGCATGCGACGGGCTAGTGTTGGCTGCAGGAGACAAAGCAGAAGGAATGGTTAGAAGCGACGGTCAGTGGTGGTGGATCTAGCTGAGCGGGGGCAACTCACCCCGCTGGCTTGAGAAAAAAGAGAGGAGAGGGAGTGAAAGAAGGCAAGATTGGGAGGCCTTGCCAGAGTCATTGACACATTTCGGCCAGCCAGACCTTGGCACGCTGGGGCGAAGGTGGTGGAGATGGTGCAGATCGCGATTAGACGCCTGTGATAGCATTGGCAGCGTGTGGGGGAGTTGGGAGAAGGGGGGCGGAGAGAGAGAGGAACAAATGGGTTTTAGGGTTTGATTGATTTGTATGAATCTTAAAGTAATCGAATGGTTTAAAATTTACATGATTTCTAAAGGGTTTCTATCAACTGGTGGACAGTCCCTTGAGTTAATGCTTGCTTGTAGGTGAAAAAAAAAATGAAATATTGCAATCTTGTACTATGTTGATTAGCATTGATAGCAGTTTGACAGCAATGAGGTAAAAATGGAAGGAAAAAGTACACCAGAGGTCCCTCAACTTATCATCGAGTTACAAAATCATCCCCCAACCACAAAACCGGATATAGGATATCCCTTAACTCACGAAACCGTTTACTTTAGGTCCTTCGGTGGTTTTGGACCCAGGTTTGTCCGACGTGGCGGCTGAGTCAGCGTGGGACCCACATAGGTCCCACATGTCAATATGCCACATCATCACCATCTCTTTCCCTCCTCTCCCTTCATCCCCTCTCTCTGTCACTTTGCTTCTCTCTGCACGGTGGCCGGTGGGAGGGGAGGAGGTCGCCGTGCCTAGGTGGGAAAGGAGATCCGGCGGTGGGCGACGCGGCGCCGGGCGACGAGGCGGCGGCGGCAACGGCTGCGAGGCGGGAGAGGAGATCCGGGGCCCGGCGACGCGGTGGCGGCTACGAATCGGGAGAGGACATCCGGCACCCGACGACACGGCGGCGGCTGCGAGGTGGGAGAGGACATCTGGCGCCCGGCGATACGGCGGCGGGTGACGAAGCGGTGGCAGCGGCACCCTCGCCTTCCTCGAGCTCCGCCACCCAGCGCCCACCCACGACAGCTGATGCACGACCACTGCACACCCGTCGGGCCCATCTTTGGCAGCCGCGGAACTCCACCGGGCCACTGCCGTGCTTGCACGATGCCGTGAGGTCGCTCACCTCGCCGCCGTGGTCTCCATCCTCGACCTCACTCGCGCGGCGTCGACGCCCTCCCCTTCTCCCGCGTCTTGCCGCCGCCGACGTCGACGTCCTCCTTCCTCCTACCTCGCAGCCGGCGCCGCCGCTGAGAAGAGTGAGAAAGAGGAGGAACCGATGAAGGGCGAGATGAGGGGAAAGAAAGAGGAGAGAGGGTGATGACTGATGATGTGGCCTCCTGACATGTGGGACCCACATGGGTCCCACGCTGATTCAGCTGCCACGTCGGACAAACCCGGGGTCAAAACCACCCAAGGACCTAAAGTGAACGGTTTCGTGAGTTAAGGGTGGTCATATATCCGGTTTTGCGGTTGGGGGACGATTTTGTAACTCGATGACAAGTTGAAGGACCTCCGGTGTACTTTTTCCAAAATGGAAT